ACAGCCACCCACGAACAACCATGTTATCAGCCATTGGTATTTGTCTGAATCGCTGACCGTGGAGATATTTGTTTTTATAGGTGTTTATCTATAGATCATCTATCTAAGAAGACAACGTGACTCTGGTAATTCTACAATAGACGCAATAATAGGAACTTCTTCAACAGTAAACATATTCTTAGGAACAGGCGCTGTGACTGGGCACTTAAAGGATTTAGAATTAAGGAATGAATAATGATTTGTATTTGGAACTTGTGACAATAGCGCATCACTCACCACCTTTCGCACCGCTTTCGACAAAATTCTGGAATGTGAGCTTTTCACTGGGCGATACATCGGCCCGTTTTCACAAGACAACCTCAACGTTCTTCTGGGTCCGTTCCAGTCATCTATGATCTCCATCATCCCCAAAGTGGGAAAACCTGGAAAGTTCTGCATTATCCAGAACTTTTCATTCCCTGCCAACACATCTCTGGCTCATCCCAACGCATCCATCAACTCCAGTGTCAATTCAGATGACTTCCCTTGCACTTGGGGAACATTCGATATCATATGTACCATCATTCATTCTCTTCCACCCGGCTCTCAAGCAGCCACATGCGATGTCGCTGAAGCTTATCATACCATTCCTTTACATCACTCACAGTGGGCAGCAGCTGTGGTTCGCCTTCCTGATGGAGATTTGTGCATTGACACTTGCGTATCCTTCAGTATGGGTCCATCAGCTGGTGTCTATGGACATGTTGCTGATGCTGGAGCGGACTTACTTCGCACAGCTGGAATCAGACCCCTGGCCAAATGGGTGGATGATCATTTATTCTTTCACATACGACACGAGCATCTTCTTACTTACAACAAACATCAGAAGAACCTGCATGATCTCCTGGAGACCAATGGGAAGTCACGGTCAGGAGGCTGTTTGTGGTATGAAAATGGACCTCTGGATGATGGTAGCTTTGACATCCATGCAGAAAATTGCAAGTTTCCTCTACGTGATCTTTCTGATTCCTCACCAAGGTCTGACATCAACGCAGACTTCACATTTGCATTTGAAGATATCACCAGATTGTCTCGTCTCCTGGGAATACTGTGGGAGCTCATGAAAGACACGCTATTCAGCTTTGTGGCACTCTATCTGGGCTTCCTTTGGGACATCTCGCACTTATCAGCCTGGTTATCTCCTGAGAAACAAGCAAAGTATCTACTTGCCATCGCAGAATGGCACTCACACACGACACACATGCTACTCGACATCCAACGGCTCTATGGGAAATTGTTGCACTCATGTCTGGTGGTCCCAGCGGGACGTGCATACCTCAGCGGATTGGAGACCATGCTCGGAGTCAGTCACGATAGCCCTTTTGTGCCACGTCACTCCAGTCGACATCTCAACAAAGAGCTTGAGTGGTGGGAAGAATGCCTCAATCACCCCTTCGTGGGATGCTCCATCACACAAACACAACCCTCCTCCATCATCAACTTACGGGCCTTCTCGGACGCAAGCACATCCTTCGGCATTGCAATTACTCTCAATGGGTATTGGCGAGCCTGGCGTCTGCTGCCCAGATGGCAAACATGCGGAGGTCAGCGTGACATTGGGTGGGCTGAGTGTGTGGGGTTCGAGCTCCTCGTACACGCCATCCTCAATGGTCATCAATCAAACACCCACAAACACTTCCAGTTGTTCTGCGACAACCAGGGAGTGGTCAATGGGTGGAAGAACCACCGCAGCCGCAACCAAGCCACCAACCTTGTGTTTTGTCGCATCCACAACTTGCTGGAGTCAATCAGCAGTGGAACCTCCTTCCATCTGCAGTACGTACCCAGTGCAGACAACCCAGCGGATGATCCATCATGAGGAATCTTCCCTCCACGTTGGTTCCTCCTACCCCCAATTGCCCTCCCAGGAGATCTCTGTCAATTTCTCGTCAATGTCAAACCCTCCACCGAATCTGATCGTCCCCAGCGTCTTCGATACACAACAGAGTGTTAATGAAGTGGTTGACACAGAGAACGACAGCTACTGGGGAGAACAACTCCTCCAATTACGAGATTTCTGGCAGGAATAGACCCACCAAGTTCATTAAACCAGCCCCCATCATTGTCTCCTCTACCAGCGCATCAGTTCATCCCTACAAACCAGACTTAACACCCGTCATGTCGCCTCTTAGACCACATTGTTTAGCGCGGGATAGGCTGAGGCTATGGGTACCAGGAATATCACGGTCCTTGTTAGATCACACAGGCTCACCAGTAACAATATCCGAGAATGACCTCAACCACATACTGACCATGATTGCACACTCCCATGCTCCCAGCACCAGAGAATCATATGGCTCTGGTCTTCTGGTGTTTCACATCTTCTGTGACTCCAGAAACGTCCCGGAGTGTTGGAGTATTGGAGAACTGGTCCGGAGTACCATGCGGATCAATAAAGTTGTTGATTCACAACGCTGAGCATATCTCCAACACGGAGTCCCAACGCTGCCCAGTGTCTTCAATTCTGATTCTCATGTTCACCGCTTCCTGTGCCGGGTTATATTCTGGTAAAACACTTGAGAACTACCTATATTCTGTAAGAGCCTGGCACCTGTTACACGGTCAAGCTTGGCGAGTCGAACAAGATCAGATATCCTTAGCACTAGAAGGAGGCAAATGTCTCGCTCCTGCAGCTTCCACACGTCCAAAATGAGAACCCTTCACCACATCACTCATCATTCGCCTCCACTCAATGCTAGACCTATCCACACCTCTACATGCTGCAGTATACGCATGTCTCACCACTTCTTTCTTCATGCTCGCACGCACTGGCGAGTTTATGGTACCCTCTCTGTGCAGCTTTGATCTGCTGATGCACATATGGGTAAGCAACATGAGAGACGAAACTGATCGCAATGGTTTCCGTGTGACCATGTTCCACTTACCTCGTACCAAGGTCGCACTCGCCGGTGAAGACGTTTATTGGGCCACTCAAACAGGCACAATCAATCCCCTCGCAGCCATGAAAAATCACCTCGACATTAACAAACCGTCCGCCGGAGATGCTTTATTTAGCTGGAAACACCGGTCAGGATTATGTCCTTTGATGAGGACACAATTCCTGCAATGCTTGCAGATGGCCAGTGATAGTCTGGGTGGAGGAACTCTCAAAGGCCATGGTATCCGCATTGGAGGGACCTTAGAATATTTATTGAGGGGGGTACCTTTCGAATCTGTAAAAACAATCGGACACTGGTCAAGCAATGCCTTCCTTCTATATCTCCGTCGACATGCAGTGATACTAGCGCCCTACTTACAGGACTGCCCAGTATTAGAACTGTTTATGCGCTATGCACTACCTTAATTTTCATAAGTTCCACATTGTCTCCTAAAGCTTGGGGTCGAGCTGATGCTAGATGCGTCATCACGCTCCTAATTATAGGGAATCTCAGCTCGCTCTTGCCCCTCCTAAGAAGAGACCTGTCTCATGTTTTGGTCAAAAACTCCTTTGGGGTTTTGCCCAAACTCTCATTTAATATGTTGTCTGCCTTTTGCATAGTTCTTACTTCAGTTTACTGTCGTTAGTCAGCACCTAATAATATGATTCACGTGTTCTTTCCCTTGATCATATTCAGCTTCTGAATGATAAGCATAGACAGACAATTACCCTCTCCCGCTGGAATTCTGTGAGGTGTGGAGACATACTAGAGTGTGACAGGTCACACGGCAAGCGAGAATATTCAGAGGTTTTTGGTGGGTACAAATATAAGATAGGCCTCGTTCATACTCTGGTTCATCATGTGACCTAAGAGGTCAAAAACACATCTTTGCCTCATAACTCTGCAGCAACTCACAAGTAGCAAAGACTGTTCCGTGATTTTGCAAGCATGTGCTATAGTATCAGAACGCTCTACTTATAATTTCAATTTTCAGACAATCAAAGGAGGAGTAGGCATTTTGGTGGCAGATGCGCTGTTGTGACTCATTGTGACTTCGGTGACCATCTGTGACCGTCAAACGGCGCCACAATCAGCGGTGGAGTGCTACTTCAGTCAATCACACATAGGTAGCGGTATAGAGCATTTCCATTCACTGGTGTCAGGTATCAAGGGTATAAAATACAACATCTCTACAGAATATTGCTCAGCTCATTCACTGCAAGATACATCAAGACATTTTCGCTATTTCCACTGTCAACTCTGCCATTATTGTCTCTGGGAGTACTCAATGACCGTGATATCACTTTGACGCCCACGCGGCCTGCTTCCCATCGAGGCCCTTGCGATAGGCGTCCATAAATCTAAGTGAGCGTGTGGAGAATCTGATTCGAAAAGATCAAAACTTGAAATCAGAGTACTAAAGAGTCGAAAAAGGCTTACTACCGTCAAATAGCTTCTAGTGGAACAGCCGCAAGGGCAGCAAGAACATTCCATTCAAGATCAACCTCTTTTGACGACACCGCAAGTTCACGATAGACTCGCTTCGAATAACCCCAACACTGTTCAATGCTGATGTCACTCATTTCGCACATTTAAGCTTTTTGGTAACTGTAATGCCTACTCGTTCCTCATTTTCTCGATTTAACTCGTAAAAACTACATGTGTGTATTGCCACATACTCTATGCACATAATCATGGAACCATTTTCAATTACACTTCATGTACAGCGAGCTACAGGTGAATTCAGTGAAATGTCACACTAAAGTCACGTGATGAACCAGAGTATGAATGAGGCCTATCTTATGTAAATGTGTTGCGTCCAAATCAAGGAGTGAACTTTTTAATGCAAAGCACTGTAACGTTTGTTTTGAATCAGGAACGACCGGTATACGACTCGTTTTTCAATGTTACTTCCAATTGCACATCCTACCTTTACCAAGTCTATCGTCAGCAACGGCCAATGTTAATGAGAAACTACGACTCGGACACGTCATTCTCACCGCGCACCGTGTGTACAGCGCCGGCTTACTCAGGCTTATCATGGGCAATGCTAGCTAAAAATGAACTTTCGGAGTTGGAGGCAAGTGAGAGATATCATTAGAGCTTGTCCTTGTGCCACCGCTATACGATTCTGTGAGCTTTTGAACATAGATGTCCTCTCCCAGCGAAAGTAGGTCGCTGCTGCATTTAGACGTCGGCGAATCTACACAGTCTGCCTATGGCACATCCCTCGACGACAATGACGACCCGGAGTCCATTTCTAGGAAGGTTGTGGAGCGAAATCTTCTACGAAAGCTAGATTCCAGAACAGCGTATCTTGTTCTTATCTACATCTTAAACCAGGTGCGTAAGGCATCAGTAACTTGTCTCGTCCGTTCTCCACCTCTGTGATAACTACTACAACCCCCAGATGGATCGAAGTAACGCTGCGTAAGACGTTCCGCAAGGAATATCTATGTTTCTAGCTAATATACGTTTTTATCCGTAGCGCTGCGAGGCTTCGTGGTCTCGAGGAAGACCTTGGTATGAAGGGTACACAGTTCAATACGTTGATCAGCAGTCTATACATCGGCTATGTGTTCATGCAAACACCATCGTAAGTAACTATATATTTTACTACTTCTCTCTGAAAGTTGAACCATGGTGGCAGAAACTTCATTCTCACTCGCATAACAAAACCATCATTGTATCTATCCACCTGCATGTCGCTATGGGGTCTCCTGACCACTCTCATTGGTGTGTTTTGTCGTCTCACTCGTGTTTGTGATGGCGAACTTAAAATGAACGGCAACAACCCACAATATCAATAAAGGGATATCTACGAGGTTGGTGTATTGTACAATAGTGTACGATTATAACGCTGATATATATCTTTGCAGCTACTACCAAGCACTTTCTTCACGCTTTCTGGTGGGATTCTTAGAGGCCACCTTTTATCCTGGTGCTGTTTATCTGCTTTCAAGATGGTATTTTTCGCATTTCACTTCACGTGACAGGCTTGCTGAATGAGTCGCAGGTATAAGCGAGAAGAGCTTGGGTACAGGACCGCATTCTTTACCGCAGGAATTGGAATTAGCAATGCTTTTGGTTCGTTGCTAGCCTCTGGAATTCTAGCAACCATGGAGGGGCTTCTTGGTTATGCGGCCTGGAGGTGCGGAACAGGCATTTTTCCTGGAAGATGCTTGGCATGGATTTTGATTACTTTCAAGTTCAGGTGGCTGTTTTTCATAGAGGGCTATTTGACGATTTTAGTCGGCATCGGTGGAATGTTCATACTTCCTGACTTTCCTTCGAGCACTGCGAGTTGGCTCACCCCTGCAGAGCATAATCTGGCTCAAAAGCGGATGGAGGAGGATTCAGAAGGCCATGGTACCGCTGAGCCTACGTCATCCGGCGGCTTTGCTGTTGTCCTGTCATTAATGACTGATTGGAGAGCGTGGTTGGTTGGCACGGCATTGTGTTGCTGTAATGCATCTCTGTCTTTTAATATGTTCTTCCCGACCTTGGCGGCCACAATGGGGTACTCGCCTACTATCAGTCTTCTGCTGTGCACACCGCCATGGATCATGAGCACAATCACCGCAGTCACTATCGCACGGTAGGCGCTATTGAAGTTTCAACTTACCCCTCAGTGAAGACTTATGTTTTTCAAGTCACTCTGACGCAACGCGTGAACGCTTTGGGCATATGACCTTTGCGTTATTGATGTTGATTACTGGATATGTTCTGGCTATGTCCACGATGAATTTTACCGTTCGCTACATCTCACTGTCAGTCGTATTTCATGCATCATTCATCTCTGCGTTTCTGATTATTTAAACCAGTTTTTTCATGGCCCAAGCACAGGTCTCGAACGTCATTCTGCTAACGTGGATCAGTAATACATTCGCTCGTTCTAGCTCTAAGCGAGCGGTTGCGATCGGGTTCATGAATTGCATTGGAACATCAGGGAACACCTTATCACCGTCAGTCCGTTTCTAGTATCTCTTGTATGTCACCATTAATGACATTTCATACCACACCAGATACATTTGGCCATCCAGCTGGGGCCCGACATATACAAACTCGTACCTCATTTGCATCGTGCTAGCCATCTCATGCATTTCATTGTGCTGGGTGTTTAGGCGGCATCTTGAGCGATTGAATGAAGCTGCTGGTGAGGAAGAGCGCGAGCTGAATCTTGCTAAAGGTTATAGATACCTATTGTAGCTTGTCGTAAAGAGTAGTGATTGTAGAGGTCACAATCATTCATATGCATCATCTGTGCTGGTGTGTGACTGATGCTATATGAATTTTTACGATGCATCTCCACACAATCCAGGGTCGCCCAAATAATCGCGACTGCACTGGCGGCTGTGTTTAACGATCGCATCCAGATTCAGGATTATCTCCCGGGGCCGCATGATGATGAACCCTGGGATAATAATGATTTCACGATCGTGCGTTTGGTTGCAATGGAAATCGACTGGGGCTCTTTTGATGTCGAAAACTTGAAGCGGAAGGCCCCCGGGTCGTATGAAAATGGGACGAACTATACACAATGTTTTATCCTTCCGGCGCTGGCAAGTTATTTCAAAGCACAAAATGACAAAGCATTGCTCGCGTTGAAGGATGGTGAGAATGCTCTGGCGCACTTGGAGGATGACCGTGCATATTTGACGCGCTTTTTGGGTGTAGACAACGAAGCACATCCAAAGTTCGAGTGTTTTCTTTGACTAAGTACTCATAGGTTGTTTTGTTGGTTGGTGCCGATACGTCGAGTTCCTTTCGTTCCCAGTTCCCTTTGACAATACTCAATATCCTACTATGTCTCACACGTGATAGTTTTGCGACTCAGTATAAATATCCTATCCTCAACTAGTTCCCCATTATTCTCGTGCCATATGCTATATGTACATTAAACATGCACACTCGACACTTTCTCAGTAGTAGAAATAGAATTGAACTTGAACGTTACCGCCAAGTTCGTGGCCGAAACGCGGATCATCAAGTACCCATCGTTCTTCCTTGGATTGTCCGACATAGAGTACTTTGACAGAAATTGGAACCGGACCAGAACAAAAAAAGGTCACAATCATTTATCTGTATTGTCTGTGCCGGTCTGCGACCGACATTCGAACATTGCATAGAAACTTAAGATCGCCATATGCAGGTTGGTGCTGTTTCTGTTGTTAGAAAGTGTCCGTATGAGCTATTGGTTCATTAATTTCACTATTTTGGCGAGTGAGGTGCCAAGCCATCTCATCAATGATTGACTAGTAAGACTGCCAAAGACGGCCCAAAGTGCTTCCCTGCACGGTGAAAACTTGACAGCGTCTCATTCCCATGCAAATAAACTCTGCACTGGCTGGAGTGTATATTGAGGTGAAACAGGGTTAGCTCTCAGGCTCTAGGCTAGTCCAAGGCTAGTCTAACCTGAAGGTTTGAAATGTCTTGTCATGCGATAGTGGTAATTCCGCAGCCCCTCGCTTGAAAAATCACGAGGGATCGGCTGTCATAAGCGATAGCACTCCACGTATATGCATACCTGTGCTACTACCACAATAAGGATGTCAAGAAAGCGGCTAGAGCGGTGAACAAGAAGCAGAAAAATCACCTGATGAGTCGAGGCCAATTCGAGGTCATTGATACCGTATGCATCAAATCTCTAGAGTGACGAAGCATCGGAAGTAGCAGTTTCTCGGAGAATCTAGATAGCACATCAAGGCTTGATTCGTGGGGAATCCCGGAAGTGCTAAAGCTGTGACAGATACGACAAGCGTGACCGTGACAGACGCGATATGGGTATAATCACATGTCAATCCACATTCGAAGTATATCAACCCCTTGCGCTTCCATTTCTTTTCCATTCCCTTCTTGTACACCTACTAGTAACCTCACATTCACCTTCATAATGGCATCAACCGCGCAATCACAGTTCAAAGTACCTGAAATCACGGTTTTAAATCGTGTTGTTTCTATTCCCTTAATTGCGTCTTCACTTGAACAGATAAATTCCATCCTTGAGAAAAACACGCTCACCCGCTCTCCATACCACGCAGCTCAATCAATCACCAACACCGCCTATAACTACTCGCAGCCTATTCAGATTCGTCTAGCCCCACTCCTCGTCCGTGCGGACGGTATCGCCAACAAGGGTCTCGATGCAGTTGAGTCGAGGTACCCTTATCCGTTCCAGGCCAAGCCCGAGGAAGTGGCCAGTTACGTGCGTGAAACTGCAGGAAAGACATTTGAGAATGTCAAAACACCTGCAGTTGGCGTTGCAGAGGGGATCGACAAGGTGGGGACCACGTGACGTATAACCCCTGTTACACGATTGACATGAGTTTTCAGAAATTTGCACCGGTCGTTGACTACATCGAGAAAATCACTGGAAATATTTCCAATGAATCGGGTGCTTCTTCGCCCTCGTCTACATCTTCCGACTCTCAATATCAGTATCAGCGTGCGATCAACGTTTCCAAGCACCTCAAGGACCATCTCTACGTCTATTCATCAGAGCATCTCAAGCAAGTACAGCAGCAAAGTGTCCTAGTGTGAGATACCCTCTTTTTAGCGCATATATGCGTTGATTCTGACCAATCATCCCTCAGTCAACGCGCGACAGACACCGCTAATTCTATCTCTGCTCTCGCCTCCAACCAGTTCAATAATGCTCAAAATGCCTTCTATGGTGTTGCTCACAATTTGCTCTCCGAGATGCAGAAAATACAGCATTCTACCGCTCAGCTCCCTCAGACCATACAGGCTACATATCCTGACATCTCCAAAACCGTCGCAGACTTACACGATATCATCACGAATCCTTCTCTCCCTGTCCCCGAGAAGCTCAATCGCGTGGGTAGAGAGGTCAAAGAGCGCGTGTCTCCACTGCTTGAAAAGCTCACTCAGCGGATAGGCGAGATCATTAACGTCCTTGGGTCGAAGGCAGAAGAGGCCAAACACACCGCTGAGGGGAATGGCAATGGGCTTTCCTCTGACGCAGATTCCTGATGGATTCAAAATTTCTCCTTCATCACGTTCTCTCGTTGTCGTCATGGCTCATAGAAGTTTGAATAGAGTAGAGATTTCGTTCCTCCATGCACTATTGTTCATATGCATTCGTTGTCGTATTCTTCCGTTCACCTTGTAGTTGTATTCGAAGCTTTCATGCTCCCTTTTTCGATCAGGTAATGGTGGATAATTTGTACATTAAACTGTTTGTTAGTGCAGTGACATCAGATAGACAGGTTATAATAAAAGGAGTAACCTCGCCAAAGGTCGAACGACCCTTTACATAAAGAGTCTCGAGTTAAGCGTTGAACGTTTGAATGTACTGTTGAAGCACTCCAACTAGACGCCATCACGTCACATCGCAGCTTCTGCAGCTCTAAGAGCGACTTCGAAACCTTCCAGAAGTCCTTGCCTTTCTTCCATCCCAACACTAATCCTCACCAAGCCCTCTTCTACACCGTACTCCGCTGCCCATCCAAGTTCGAAAAAATGCGCTAAAATGGTATATGGACACGCGAGCGTAAAGTTCGTTCCAAGACTCGGGCCCTTCTGGAATGGCATGTTATCGAAGAAAGCCCGCGAAGCAGCAGTCGAGGTGAACGTGAGTGAAAATAGCCCTCCGTATCCTCCCTCTGGGAGCTTGCACGAGAGGTAGTTTTCAGTCGTGATATATTTTGGGTAGAAGACCTCTTTAATGACGGGGGATGGTATGGATGTTCCACCTGCGATGGATCTCGATCGTAAGAAGTCACAAACGGCGAGCGTGTTCTCATCGATGATGCGAATGCGCCATGCAAAGTTTCGGGAGTTGCGCTCCATGAAGATTGCGTCTTCATCAAAGTATGTGTCTTCATAGGTAGCAGACATGTGTGCTTTGAGCGTGGCGTAGTGGCGACTTTGAGGATTGAGAATTAAACTGAGTGGTAGCAAGTATGAGATCAAGCTTCTGAGGATGGTAAGATACCTACCTTCCGCCCATAGTGTTTGCGTCGCCGCTAAAGATCTTGGACAAGCTGCTCACAACGACGTCTGCATGTTGCAGCACGTCGACATTGACGAAGTTTCCGATGGTCTCATCTATGACGATCACGAAATTATATTTATCTGCAAGGGCACGGAGGACGGAGATGTCAGCTGAGCGAAGGAGAGGATTTGACGGGAACTCTGTAAAAAGAGCTGCAATAGGCAGCGCGGAAGGGTTCGCGGAAAGCTCCTGCTTGATAATTGTCTCCAGCGCGTCTATGTCAGAGTCAAGACCGTGTCCGAGGAAGTGACAGCCAGGACCCCATTTTTGAAGGATTTTTAGGGTATCAGTGTAGGTAAATCTAAGAGACTATCAGCACGTATCTCGATGCAACTTTAAAAAAAAGTACCCAAAGCACACGCTCTTGACCGGTGGCCGTGTGCCTAGAATCAATTGATGGGCACTCCAAATTGCAGACATGCCAGTTGGGAATAGGTATACATCATCCTCCGTCACGTCCTTCACTCCTCTGTGGCTGGGCCCCACTTCGACATCTTGTGCGCCTGCACATGGACCATTCGGACAGTCTTCCCAATTGTCTCTAACGAGCACGCCAGCAATTCGTCTGCGCATAGCCCGCTTTGCTTGAGAACCTGCATTAACTGGGAGGTTTCTCCCGTATCGTTCTTCAAGATAGATGTTTTGGTCTTTACTGAGTTCCTCTTGCAGGTTCGAACTGAGTGAAAGAGCCGATCCGAAGGACGACGATTGTGGGGCGCGCTTGACGCTATAGTGTTTGTTCAGCGTCTTGAATGGAGTACGGGGAGACGTTGACGAGAGTACCGGAGAATTTGGTGATTCAACCGGGAGAAGGGAGAGACAGTAGTCCGCGAGGCGGGAAGAAATACCGAGACCTGTATGCTGCCAGAATTGTTTTGCGAAAGGCCATGCATCTGCAGGGAATAGAACGATGTGTAGCTCTACCGTGTGTTGCGTGGATGGCACGGGAGTGTCCTCAGGATAAATGTGATATTGCACGAGCCGCGCGTGCGTTGGTGTGCCTGCTAATGATGCTCGATCAAGCATAAAAGATCGACACTGATCTGCGACCTTCTTGGATGGGTATAACATGCATTTTTCGTTGGCTGCCCCAAATTTTAGCTCGCATATCCGTGCAAGCTTCCGATTAATGGGTTAGGGACATACTATTTAATTTGACTTGGAACAGACACATACCTTTTCGATGCGTAGATGGATAAAGAACCTTGGGTATCCGGTCACCATAGCATCAACAACTCGCTTTTCTCCTTCCTCATATCCCACATTGTCTGCCCATGTAGGAAGTGAAACAGATATCGCATGCTGAGTGAAAGGTGGTACTGCAGATCCAAGTGGATAGTTGCTTGGGGAATGCGGGGTAGTCATAATATTATCGCGGGGTAGAAGTGAATATCTGATATTTGCGATGCCTAAGGATTATTTCTAGCAAAAACTGGCGCTTGCATAAATTCAGTCGCGTGTCCAGCTAAATGACTCGCGGTGCAATTCTTTACCCGATACGACCCCCGCAAGCTTACTAAGCCGGACAGTATTCGGGTTTTCAATCGGTTTGCACCACTCGGTGCGGATGAGCGATGCTTCGTCACTAATTTTAAAGTCCTGAGCTACTGCAGTCGCAAGGTCAGGTTCAATATCTGCTTCTCAAGGATATCAGATGATTACTACGAACACCACCTCAGAAGAATCACTTACACGGTTTATTGCTGCTGGATATTATTGTGGCAAGTCTTCTACACCCCCCACAGTACACGAGATCCCATCAGACGACGACTGTTCAAACTTCTGTGTCAACCTCGCGTCCATTGCTACGGATACGCAGTCTCCCATGATTGCCTTATCCATTTTTGAAGCAACATGACTCGAAGGGCAAATACTACCGTTGTTCATGTGCTGAATTAGCAAGTACCCAGTTTTGATTCGCGTTCGACAAAGGAAAAGGTGGGCTCTATGACAGGATTGATCGGATATTATCCGCAGTGCTGCTTGAGTTGTGGGTATGCAGATCGAGGGCGAGGGACGAAATGTTTAACGTACTGCGATGCCTGTGTCGTCCAGCTTGGGGTGGCAGCCTGTACCCCAGTTTCATAATCGGACCTCGGGCATGAATTGGAACGAGATAGCAAATTTGTAGAAGCATCAACATTGTGGTGTAATGTCACCTATAATTGCGCGATTTCTTAATAATCAGACGTCATACCACAGGCACGCAGGACGAACCCGGCCGTGACGTGCTGCCTCAATTGCTTCCTTGATATCCAGCGTCTCCTTTGGTGGGCTTTCTCCTACCTTCGTACCTCAGGCCTCAGTAAACACCTGATGCATTTTGCTCCCTTGGTCAAGTTGCGAATGTCGCGGCTGGGTCTGAGTTTTCGGTCTATCCTGCACTCGCTGGGCGGCTGGGGACCTCAAGATTACTGCGCCCTGTCCATCTACAGCGCAGTAACATTTGCTGGCCCCATGAACCCTTTGCTGTGGCGTTGTGTCGAAGTTCGTAGCTGCCGTTGGGACTCACCAGTGACGGCGGCAGTGCCTATCCTTCAGGTTCTCGTGAATACTCGAAGTCATGAATACTAATGACCTAAAAATGACATACAGTGATACAAGTATAAAGTACAGCGAATGGCACAGCAAAAATAGCCCATCAAAATTCCAAGCCTCATTCAACATCGAAGCGCCATTGTAGCTTGACTACTTGCAGTTCTCGTCATCAAAAACCCAGTGGCCGTATGTGCCATGATCCTGAAAGGAATCAACAAATCGTGCCGCAATTGGTGTAATTGAGCAGCGAACCTTTTGGAAGCAGATTTCCGCCCCCATGAAATGCATCCCGTTGAAGCTTGCAGGAGTGGTAGCACAGAACTCCTTCCAATCAGCTCCTGACGGAATGTTCTCGAGGTAATGTTCAATACGCTGCATACCGTCAACTTCATTCACCATATCGTGTCTGAGAAACTTACTCGCTGACCAGATCCAGGCGAAGCACAACCCTGCGACAATCATTAAGTTGCAAATATGCCGACGAGAAGGATCAACAAACAAAATCTTTGTACCAGCTCCAGTACGACGCGCAATCTGGCTCATGCTGGTCGACTTCCCAATGACCTACTACATCGTTTGGACCCTGCACACGCAATATCAGCTGTTTGTATACCAAGAACTACAGGAAACTCACATTATCCTCACACCACTTAGGTGTGTATTCAGCCCCATGGATCTCTACCGGTGTGGCCATGCAAGCCTCAACGCGGCGGTCGTAATATGATGGAACATTTACCAGTCGGGCAGTGTACTCTCGAGTGGCGTATGATGTGCACGTGTGGGACGCCAAGTCGGTCCAAAACATATTCAATCTCAAGCGTTCTTTTTCTTCGTGCTTCCGTCTCTCCTCCACTTGGCGCTCGTGCTCTTCCACTTCCCTGCTCCATTTTTCGCGGAGAAGAATTCTGTCTTGCTCTTCGCGCCTCCGTCTCTCCTCCATGTCGTGTTTGTGCTCTTCCACTTCCTTGCCCCATTTTTCGCGGAGAAGAATGTTGTCTTGCTCTTCGCGTTTCCGTCTTTCCTCCACGTCGTGTTTGTGCTCTTCTACTTCCCTGCTCCATTTTTCGCGGAGAAGAATGTTGTCTTGCTCTTCACGCCTCCGCCTCTCCTTCATGTCGTGCCTGTGCTCTTCTACTTCTGCTTGCCATTTTTTGCGGAGACGAATCCTGTTTTCATCCTGCAGAAGCCAGCGTGCTTTGGTGTAATTGCGCTCGAGAACTTCTTTCTGGTGCTGGCGAAGTTCAATGTCCCAGTCTTCGCGAATGCGGTTTCGAACATCCGGATCTAAAGAGTCCTTGGAAAAGCTAATGGAGAAATTGACAATCGTGAATGTAATAACAAAGAGAGCGATTGCTACATAGACACAAAGAGATTGATAGCGACGATAAGGCTTGCGAGGCCCTATCAGAGGGTCTGCCTCTGATGAGCTGCAAGGCTTGTCGTCACCCATCAGGTATTAATCTATTCGTGAGGCTTACACACCGAGAATGGTAAGGTGGGGGCCCGGGTGAGGAACTACCCATTCTCATCAGTATCGATGACAAGAGTATTCAAGACGGTACTTCACTTGTTATCCTGCCACATGTTCGGAAATATCTGGCGAATAGCTGTTGATTATCAAATGTTCGCAGAAGAATCAACATTTACAAACCTCTCTCTCAGACAAACATCTACCGGAGATTTGACAAATTGTAACGCCTATAAATGTTAGAGGCAGTGTTTATGGGCGAATTCAGTCGGAGTCGCGGAGTTGATAAGTTGCAACCAAATAAGTATTACGTAATAATTAATAATCAAAAGGGCGAGCTACCAATTCAGCGCTCAGCTTGGTCTCGTCCAACTATCAAGTTGCCACCTTATTCGATATCATCACATGTACAAGTTCCTGAATTGAAAATCTCGATTCCCGATCATAAGTTGGCCGCTATAGATAAGACTGAGTGAATCGAGACATACCAGTAAGTCCTAGCAGTAAGTTTGACAAGATAGGCTGACCTGGTTACTAGACTAACAAACCGATACAGATGTTGTAAAATATATATTTGCATATGGTCGCAAACGGCCTCCAACTCCAGCGGATCATCGATCATCGCCTACTGTGATTGACTATTCGCGGAGAATTCATGACCGATCGGAAAAGGTCGGCTAGTCTTTCTTCCAAGAATATCGGGCAACTGTACTGGCAAGAACTGGTCGATGCAGAGGGTAAGATATCGTCGGTAGTGCCATATAATTATCAAGACAACGATCCATGCATAAGAAGCATGTGGTTACCACCTAGGCTGTGAGCATGGTCGCGGAGTTGCGATAACACCTCACCGGCTTTCATGAAAGCGTCGTCGGGGATCAGATTGGCTTTAGTGTGCTTTTCCTTCGAAAGGTGGCCTTGATGCAGTGACTTCACGACGCAGCTAATTGAACTTGTTCCAAACTAGCGGAGTCACTAGCGGTGATACGCTGGATATATGCACCACGCTGTGCAGATCCGATCACCATATCGATCCATGGGCCAAGGCCATTCAGTTATGTACACTGCAGTACTAGACTAAGCTCGTACTGTCGTCCTAGCTCCCGATCGGTCTGTCTCACGGGACTCAATAATATTTGCGAGCACATTGACATCCGACTTCCCGGCTCTCAGGCTCTTCGGTGACTTTTCATGTTTCTACAAGCTAGTCCTGTGCTAATACATGCTAACACATTGTAGGATTCCGCAAGCGATTATTGACTTGAAAATAGTCCCACCCAGTGATCTGAGCGGTGCATCCTGCGACGACGTATCTGAGTCTAACTAACGGTACTGCGTAAGCTCACCGCAGTGCTGCTCGATTGTGGCCCTGACTTCGTACTATATAAGCTCGGACCTCCAAGGAGATCCGCATTCAATATCCTAGACACCTTATCTTATCCTCATACAATTTCAGAACTTAGACTCATCTCGCAATGGCACCCATCGCAGTCGCTTCTACCACTACCACTGAATTCTTCACCGACCTCAAGACATCCATCGTCTCTCCACCTAATACTCTCCACGACGTCATCGCTCAAGCTGTCGACCGTTATCCGTCCCACGAGCTTGGTTTCATAACCTCCTCAGCACATGACTCCTCCATTCAGACAAAGACCTTCAGCACCTTCAACCAATATGCTCGCAACCTCGCACGTGCCATGCTAGAGTGGGGCAAGCCCACGGGCTCAGTCGTCGTCGTGTACCTGACGGAGCACGAAGATAATATGGCTGCTGTATGGGCATGTCTGCTGGCTGGCTATGTGCCTTGCTTGCAGCCTGCACTTAGCGCGCAACAGGCGCACAAGGAGGGCCATGTCGCCCACATCAAGAACTTGTTTGGGTCTGCTATTTGGTTGACAAATGAACTTGGGGCCGAGCAGATTAGCACCATTTCTGGTCTGGAAGTACACTTGCTCTCCGGATTAAAGGCGTCGGCGGAGACATTCAACGTCTCAGCTGACTGGGTTGCATACGAAGCCAAGGCAGACGACGAGGCGATCCTGTTCTTGACCTCAGGGTCTACCGGATTCTCCAAGGCTGTCGTGCACACGCACCGCACGATTATTGCTGCATGCCGTGCAAAGGGCCAAAGTTACGGCCTGACTTCCGAATCTCGAGTCTTGAACTGTATGACGCGCGTTGTTTAACCTTTATCCTCAAACTGATCATGACTTTCAGGGGTCGGATTTGATCACGTCGCAGGATCGTTGGAAATGCACATCACGCCTTTGCTATACGGCGCTTCGCAACTCCACGTGCACGCGTCTGCTATCCTTGCTGATCCTCTTCGGCTGCTCCGTTTGATTGACGAAGAGGTATGTCCGTATGAAATCATAGCCAAACGCACCTCTGATGATTTAATCATTAGTCGATCGAATTGAGTTTTGCTCCGAACTTCTTGCTGTCCAAGCTTACGCGCGATCTGGAAAAGCGCACCGACCTTTTCGGAACTTTCGACCTGTCTTCGATCAAGCGAATCAACAGCGGAGGTGAAGCTGTTGTTTCCAAGACCGCGAAGGCGTTCGCTGCTACCATGAAGCAGCTTAGCAAGAACCCGTCCGCTGTATCGTTCGAGATCTCTCCTGGGTTTGGAATGACAGAAACTTGGTAAGACTTATGAAACCATATGGGTACATAAAGAAACTGATGGGGATTCTGCAGTGCCGGATGCATTTACCATCCCGTGGATGTGCTCACAAGCGAGCCTGCTCACGAGTTCCTTGATCTCGGGAGACCCATCGATGGTTGCGAGATGCGTGTCGTTGACCCCGCAGACGGCTCGACCCTGCGCCCCGACGGGGAGAGCGGTGAGCTCCAGGTTCGCGGGCCGATGGTCTTCGTACGCTACTACAACAACGCAGAGGCTACGGCCTCCAGCTTCGTCGAGGGGGGCTGGTACCGCACCGGCGACGTTGGCATCATCGAGAATGGGATCATGCGCCTCAGCGGTCGTATCAAGGACACCGTCATCGTCCATGGTGTTTCGTACGGCATCCCTGAGCTCGAGACTCACCTCCAGACCGTTGAAGGAGTGACTCACTCGTTCCTCGCTGCAGCACCGTACCGTGCTCCTGGTCAGGAGACGGAAGGGTTCATCATTTTCTACTCGCCAACCTTCGACCTCGATGGAGCAGACGCTTCGTCAAAGCTCTTCGCCACTCACCGGGCCCTTCGGGACATCTGCGTGAAAATGATCACGCTGCCGCCTCAATTAGTCGTTCCCATCCCTGTGAACCAGATGGAGAAGACCACTCTCGGTAAACTGTCTCGTGCGCGTTTGATCAGTCTCTTCAAGCAAGGCCAGCTCGCGAAGCACATCGCTCGCTCGGAAGAGCTTCTGAGCGAGGCACGTGGCGCTACGTTCGTCGCGCCATCCACGGAGACGGAGAAGGCGCTTGCCAAGATATATGCTGGGATCTTCAACCTCGCGGAAAGCGAGATGTCAGCCAGCGACAACTTCTTCGAACTCGGTGGTACCTCCATTGATGTTATTAGGTCAGTATATACTTCCCGCCCTAAAATGGCTCTCACTAATGCATATCATCTTCAGGCTTAAGCGTGAGGGAGAGGCACATTTCGACCTTCCTGAAATCCCCACTATCCAGATCCTTAAGCACCCCGTCATCTCGAGCCTCGCCAACTATGTCGACTCCCTGCTCTCCAAGGACAGCCAGACTGAAGAGTACGACCCTATCGTTCCTCTTCAGCTGACCGGAAACAAAACTCCGATCTTCTTCGTTCACCCTGGTGTCGGAGAGGTCCTGATTTTCGTCAACCTTGCCAAATACTTCCAGAACGAGCGTCCCTTCTACGCCCTCCGTGCTCGTGGCTTCGAGCCCGGTCACCCCTTCTTCACCTCTATGGACGAGATGGTGTCGTGCTACGCTGCAGCAGTCAAGAAGACCCAAGCAACTGGGCCATACGCCATCGCGGGCTACAGTTACGGCGGTGTCGTCGCGTTCGAAGTTGCTAAGCGGCTCGAGGCGATGGGCGAAGAAGTCAAATTCGTCGGTCTCATCAACATTCCTCCTCATATCGCGGACCGCATGCACGAGATCGACTGGACGGGCGGCATGCTCAACTTGTCGTACTTCCTCGGTCTCGTATCGAAGCACGATGCCAATGATCTCGCGCCTGCTCTGAGGCCGATGACGAGGAAGGAGCAGCTCGAGGTTGTGTGGAAGCTGTCTCCCCCTGATCGTCTCGTCGAGCTCCAGCTGACTCCTGAGAAACTTGACCACTGGGTGGACATCGCCGGGTCCCTGATCGAGTGCGGGAAGGACTACAACCCATCAGGCTCAGTTTGTATGTCATTTCTTTTCTCACTTCATTATCACTTGCTCATATGCCGTGTCTCTTCAGCTGCCACGGACGTTTTCTACGCTATTCCTCTCCGCGGCAGCAAGTCAGACTGGCTCAACAACCAGCTCAAGCCATGGTCTGGGTTCAGCCGTGGCGAGCCATCATATACCGACGTGCCAGGGCAACACTACACTCTGATGGACTTTGACCACGTCCCGCAGTTCCAGAAGATCTTCCGGGGTCGTCTCGAGGCTCGTGGCCTGTAAAAGATTTAGTATCGAATTATGTTTATATCTGTCTTTTCGCCAGTATCTATTCGACTATACTCGGAGTACATGTGCTTAATTCGTTGGATTAATTGTGTCGATGTGCATATTGTGTATTATCCTACATAGAGTGGTACTCCTTTTAATGGACAAAAAACTTCCATAGCATGCGTTGATGACGGCCAAAGTGTCCAGCAATTCGGCTGCTGCTGCTCGATTTCTCAACTTGTGACCTATTAAATTATGAATGGACCCTGAACGAGGGATATCAACTACCAGTACTCATAACACAAAGAAACACAGGAACACCAAGATCATCTTTGCAATACTTGAGTGTACTACATTTGATTAAGTTCCGTGAATCTTTCAGTATGGCCACAAAACGACAGTCATAACTCGACGGAACATTCGCCAGTTGGGTCATGATTTCTGTGGCGTTGCGTGCTCCGAAGTTCGTAGCCCCCAATGGCGGTGGCAGCAGTGCCTATCCCTGATTATCCAAATATTAGTGACCCAAAAAGACATACAGTGATGCAAGTATACAGTACAACGAATGGTACAGCAAAAATAGCCCATTAAAATTCCAAGACAACATCACCCTCATCCAACATGGAAGCATTGTTGTAACTTCACTACTTGCAGCTCTCGTCATCAAAAACCCAGTGACCGTACGTGCCACCATTCTAGAAAATAATCAACAAATCGTGCCAAATTGATGCGACTAAACAACGAACATTTTGGAAGCAAAATTCTGAGCCCATGAAATGCATCCCGAGGAAGCTTGCAGGAGTGGTAGCACAGAACTCCTTCCAATCAGCTCCCGATGGGAGGTGCTCAAGGTAATGTTCAATCCGCTGCATACCGTCAACTTCGCTCACTACATTGTGTCTGAAAAACTCACTCGCTGACCAGATCCAGGAGAAATACAGCCCTGCGACAATGGATAAGTTGCAAATATACCGACGAGAGGGATCAACAAACAAAATCTTTGTACCGGATCCAGTATGACGCGCAATCCGGCTCATGCTGGTCGACTTCCCAATGACCTATTACATCGTTTGGGCCCTGCGCACGTAATATCAGCTGCTTGTATACCAAAAAACACAGGAACACTCACATGGTCCTCGCACCACTTAGGCATGTACTCAATCCCATGGATCTTCACCGGTGTGGCCATGCAAGCCTCCACGCGACGATTGTAGTATGACGGAACATTCACAAGTCGGGCGGTGTACTCCCGAGTGGCGTATGTTGTGCACGTGTGGGACGCCAAGTCGGTCCAAAACATATTCAATCTCAATCGTTCTTCTTCTTCGTGCTTCCGTCTCTCCTCCACTTCACGGTCATGCTCTTCCACTTCCCTGTGCCATTTTTCGCGGAGAATGATTCTGTCTTGCTCTTCGCGCCTCCGTAACTCCTCCACTTCTTTCTTGTGTTCTTCCACTTCTCTTTCCCATTGTTCGTGCATATGACTTTTGTGTTCTTCATCACGCCTTAGCCTATCCTCCACTTCACGATCGTGCTTTTCCACCTCCGTTCCCCATTGTTCGCGAAGATTGATCCTTTCGTTATCTTCCAAACGCCAGCGCTTTTGGGTGTCGATGCGCTCGAGAACTTCTTTTTGGTGCTGGCGAAGTTCAATGTCCCAGTCCTTGCGAATGCGGTCTCGAACATCCGGATCTAAGGGGTCATTGGAAAGGCTCGTGGAGAATTTGACAGCCATGATTGCGATAATAAAGAGAACAATGAGTGCCACATAGACGATGGGAGATCGATAGCGACGATAAGGCTTGCGAGGCCCTATCAGAGGGTCTGCCTCTGATGAACTGCAAGGCTTGTCATCACCTATCAAGTATCAACCTGTCAACGAGGCTTACACACCTGTCATGGTAAGGTGGAGGACTGCGCATTCTCATTAGTATCAATGACAGGAGTATCCGAGAGGTACCTCACTTGTCGTACCGCCTCGAGCTCATCTTAGGGAATATTTAGGGAATAGTTGTTGACTGACAATATCACAATACACAGATCACTGTTAAACGTTGAATGTTCAGATGTTCGCTGAAAATTCCCATTTACTAACCTCTTCCTCGATAATAAGGATCTACCGGATTCGACAAAGTGTGAGGATATTCGTTGGACCTATGTTGCTGACAATGAGGATGCCAGGTTTTCCTGAGCAGATTCCGTCGGAGTCGCGGAGTTGTATTATGGCTATTCGCATGGACACCACGAGGCTCGAGCCACCATCTGGGATGTTCGTGGAGATTAGTCGGACATGGAAGCTGACTCGATCTAAACCTTGGCTGCCATTTCGCAGTTGCCGCCTTCGTTGGAGTGACGTATGATTGGGGTGAGCATGATTATATTAAAGGACTGCTGATATCTTACAAGTATTTTCAGCACTTACATTTGGACAAGAGGTATGTCGATGCTATGACCGGAGCAGCTATCTCGTTGAGAATGGCTTCTATAGGTAGAACTCATCTGGATGAGTAGAGTCTGGTATCAGAGGAACACGCATGAGAATATACACGATTCCAGAGACAACGTTGGTCGGTAATGACAGCTCTGTATCTCGGTGTATGTAGCTTGTTTGTCGCAGTTGCCATGTTGTGCTGACTTGAAAGTATCCTAGGTGCGTTACCTTGGAATCTCATATGCTGCGTATGTTCTGAAGGCTAAATGATCAGTGTTGTGCTAATTGTCTATCTCTTATAATCAGCTTATGCATGCTGAGTATGTCTCCTTATTACATTCACTGTCTTCGCCTCTTCTGACCAACAGCATACAGACTGTGTTCCGACCATCTGGCTGACAGATACAGTGAGTCTTCTGCACGGATGCCTACTACTATCCCCCTCCAATTAACGCGAAGCCATGTAGCAGTGAGTGTGGTTCTTTGCCAACTTCTTGGTTCATCGTTGACTGCCACGCTATACTGCCACAGATGTGAGTTTATTTGGAGTGTGTGCTACCCGAGGCTGGTCACTGACTGGATTTGTTAGGCTTGATTACGTCTATCGTACATTATTGGACGTTCATTGTGGTATTTGCGATGCTGTGGGGTGAGCTTAGCACTTACGAGATCTCAGTGATATTGACTTGACCAAAACATTCTGCAAGTCATCATCATCATTCGGCTGCATGCCATGCATCAACGATCCAGAAAGATCCTGATATTTCTTATTGTCACCTTCCTGGCTGTCAACATTGTCAGTGGAGTGGTCACCTTGCTTATGACGATAGATGCTTCTGCGGGTACGTTTAATTGTGGATGAAAACAAACATGCATGGAGCTCATTAATGAATACCAGAGCAATTCATCCTCTCTGGCACCTATGAATGTTGGATTGGCTTTACGGAAGATTTCATACCTCTGGAGTCCATCAGTTGGATACTCGACACCGTGTGGGAGGTCCTCGCACTATGTCTCGCAGTCTGGATTGCGGTAAAACACTTCCGTGAACTTCGACGACACTCGACAGGAGGGATTATGGGGGACTGTTTTACGATATTGATGACAACTCACATGCTCTACTTTGCGAGGTAAGTCCATACTGTGATTCTTCTTCCTTTTTCCGCTGAAGGGTCGGTCCTGGTAGTTTTGTTGTTGTTTCTTGCTTCGAGCTCATTCTTGATTTCTCTCCGATACTCTTAACGGTATGTCAGTCTTTAACTTTTGCACGCTACCATAATTTACCGTTCCTATAGTATAACTCCTGAACGCTAATATCATTTCTGGGTTTGTTCAGATTTCGCAGGTCGTGCAGATGTTTGTGCTGGGACCACGCCTGATCCTTGGCATTCGGGAATACCACGCTAAACTCGTTGCCGATGCTGACGCAGCGACTGGTATGACCTCAATCGCTTTTCAGGAGCATGTGTATATATCGACTGGCAGTGGTGTGTGATACTTGGTGAAGTTAACTGTTCTGCAAGGAGTAGGGGAATTTGTTTCTATTTATTAGCCCTTTCATGATCGAAGTATTCGGTGTTCTGAAATAGATTTCAAGGAGACATACAAAGTTTTCGTCATATTATTTAGTCAAGTGATTTGACATACATACTGACAATGTTTAAATCGATATCCTGAATATCTCTAATATCTCATAGCATGAGCCTGTACAACTTCAAGGCTTCCTGTAGTCGTAATGGCAACGCCCATCCAGGGGTGTTCTTTTCTCCCGGTCCCTCTCGTATTCTAGTATAATATCAGAAATTATGGACAGCTCTTCAATTATTCCCAGACATTCTGCGCATGTGACCGCTATGCAACTCCACGACCAAAATCTACTACTCTGATTAAATTGAGCAAGCTGACAGGCTGTAAGCGCCAGATGGTGAAACCTAAGTTCTTCCAAAAGTCTTGCTGCAGGGTTACATGCAATACTTGGGTGTACATTCAGTCCAGTGAATCTTTACGGTATGGCTACGCAAGCCTCCAAACGATGGTCATAACTCGACGGAACATTCTCCAGTTAGTCATCTTGTTTTCCGTGGTGTTGCGTGCTCCGAAGTTCATAGCCCTCAGTGGTGGCTGCAGCAGTGCCTATCCTTCAACGCTCTCGTGAATACTAGTGATCCAAAAAAAATACATAAAACATGAAGTATCTCGAATGGTACAGCAAAAATAGCCCATCAAAATTCCGAGCCTCATCCAACATCGAAGCGTCATTGTGACTTGACTACTTGCAGTTATCGTCATCAAAAACCCAATGACCGTATGTGCCACCATTCTATAAAATAATCAACAAATCGTGCCAAATTGATGCGACTAAGCAGCGAACCCATTGAAAGCAGATTTCTGACCCCATGAAATGCATCCCGTTGAAGCTTGCAGGAGTGGTAGCACAGAACTCCTTCCAATCAGCCCCCGACGGGAGGTTCTCGAGGTAATGTTCAATACGCTGCATACCGTCAACTTCGCTCGCGAATTCATGTCTAAGAAACTTACTCGCTGGCCGGATCCAGGCGAAACACAACCCTGCAGCAATCAATAAGTTGCAAATATGCTGACGAGAAGGATCGACAAACAAAATCTTTGTACCAGTTCCAGTACGACGCGCAATCTGGCTCATGCTGGTCGACTTCCCAATGACCTACTACATTGTTTGGACCCTGAACTCGGAATATCAGCTGCTTGTACTACCAAGAAACACAGGAACCCTCACATGATCCTCGCACCACTTAGGTGTATATTCAACCCCACGGATCTCCACTGGTGTGGCCATGCAAGCCTCCACGCGGCGGTTGTAGTATGACGGAACATTCACAAGTCGGGCAGTGTACTCTCGAGTGGCGTACGTCGTACATGTGTGGGACGCCAAGTCAGTCCAAAACATATTCAATCTTAGGCGTTCTTCTTCTTCGTGCTTTCGTCTCTCCTCCAACTCACGCTCATGTTCTTTGACTTCCGTTCGCCATTGTTCGCGGGAACGAATCCTGTCATTATCTTCCAGAAGCCAATGTTTTTTGATGTCAATGCGCTTGAGAACTTCTTCCTCGTGCCGGCGAAGTTCAATGTTCCATTCCTTGCGAATGCGTTCTCGAACATCTGGATCCAAGGGGTCCTCGGAAAGGCTGATACAGAGATTGACAACGGTGAATGCAACGACAAAAAAAGCGATGAGTGCTGCAAAGACACAGGACGATTGATGACGACGAGAAGGCCTGCGAGTCCCTATCAGAGGGTTTGCCTCTGAGGAACTGCAAGGCTTGTCATCACCTATCAAGTATCAACCTGTCAACGAGGCTTACACACCTGAGGGAGTAAGGTGGAGGACTGTGCATTCTCATTAGTATCAATGACAGGCGTATTTGAGAGGTACCTCACTTGTCGTATCGCCTCGAGCTCATCTTAGGGAATATTTAGGGAATAGTTGTTGACTGACAATATCACAATACACAGATCACTGTTAAACGTTGAATGTTCACATTTCCGCTGAAGAATTACGATTTACTAACCTCTTCCTTGATAATAAGGATCCACCGGACTTGACCAGGTGTGAGGATATTCGTTGGACAGCCTTGAGGTGTTTCTGATTCCGTCGGAGTCGCGGAGTTATACATATCATGTGACTTACACGAGCTAAAAATCAACACCTTTATCGATTATTTATACCTATTTCCCTTATTCATGTAGTAGACATCACCAAAACATGCATTGTTAACTTCTTATCCTCGTTGAATATTGAATTCTTGCTGAACATAGATGGACCTCTCCTAATTGGACAAGCTGGTCAGGACGTAAAGGACTTCCCTCGTGAGCCTTGATGGGGAATGATAAACATTCACCAGACTCACAGGAAATATTGTGGACGAAAACACGTTGGCGGTGTGTGGTTCTATCTAACCTAGATCTAGTGGAAGTCGCGGCATTGATATCAAATGCCGCTGTTCTGAACTTGCTGTATGATGCAGCATGTTTCCTCGAGCATGCTATGTGACAATTTTTAGACTCCAAATCTGAACGTCCACACGAAATGCGCAAGCGGTCGGATCTAGTGGGTACTGAGCCGTAAGCATCCTCGCGTGAAGTCTCTGAACTAACCAGAACCTTACGTCAAGACCATGTGCCCGTTGAGTTGATCGTTGATTAGCTTCAGTAGTATTTACAAGCCTTGTAGTGCAGTCCAGCAGTCAATACTGGTGCTTGAAATCACTCTAAAAACCTACATACATCCCTGTCGACAATTATCTTTGTGTACAAAAAGCATGGCAAGCGAACCCTAAGTTATTGCCGGAAATCATCGAATAACGCACGAAAAGCAAAAGCAAAATAGAAGACCTCACAATCACTCCCACTGTCCCACGAGCTCCCCAAAATCTAAACCCATCCACGAGTTTCTGTCACCAGCACCAAGCGTCGGCATCATCCGCGGACTCTCCCTGACATCCCCTAGCCCCAAACTTGGAATGGAGCGCGGACTGCCAACATCTACAGTTGGGATGACTCGCGGGCTTTGGCTGAGACGTATGCTCGTCTTGCTACTCGATCTTGAGCGCGCGAAATCTCTGCTGGATTGCGAGAGATCTCGTGTTTGTGTGAGCGACCGTGACAAGTCCCGCACAAACACTGCCCGAGACGAGTGTGAAGACGAAGATGAAGATGAGGCACGTCGGTGCCGCATGCGTTGCGTAGGATCAACATTTGGAAGGTTGGCGATACGTGCGAAAAAAGAAAGAACTACATGATTAGGCATTAGAGATGATCGAGATATTCGAGGAACAAAATACGCACTGTCAACAACGCTAACAATTCCGCACAGTCCGCCGCCCATGGGTGAGCCTGGAGATGAGCTGGGCTCGAAATCCGGGTCAATTACGAAGAGTCGGTGCGAATTGGCTGATCAAGTCATCAGTCTATCCCACGCTGTGACTCGGAGAAAAGTGACGCACTCGCAAGCAGTTTCTGAATTGTATATGAGAGTGTGCTGGTGGGGAGGACGACATATACTGTGTGACATGCATCAGTTAAACCACTCTAATACTGAAACGAGTATCCACAAAGCACATGAGGCGTTGTTGTGGAATCACAAATACAAGCAAAGAGAGACACGAACCAGGATACCGGTCTGCTCCATCCGTGCTTCCGCCTGGCTCCTTGATCTGCGCGACGAACTGGTGTAAAGGCGCGGAGAGAATGTGGTTGGACTCCGAAGGAACGACGAGCTGTATGTATATTGTGATAATGCATATAGATTGAAGCCAGATGCCGTTCGTGAAAAGAGAGAGAAATTTGATCAAACTCCGCACTGCGGCGATAGCAAAGGAAACACACCTTTCCGATATCAGTAACACTCACTGCTCCAGTCAGCCCACCCCAGGACCCGTATCCAGCTCCGTATCCTCCTCCGCCATCATCGACAACAGCTACGCTACTCACACCACCGTCGCTCATCAGGCGCATCGCGTCAAGTACTGTAGATGAGCTGGTAGCAGCTATTACAGATGTGTACATTTGAAGCGACGGGAGAGCAAGTAAGTATAGGGGGCACGAGAGGAGCCTTGCAAATGTGAGAGTGGAAGAGGGCTGGGGCTGGGGTTGGAGCGGAGCAGTGGGGCGGGAAGCTGTTAAGGCTGATACAGGCTTGGGAGACTGAGAAGGCTGGGAAATTTGGATGGAAGATTGCACTGAAGCTGGCAGCCGAGGAGAATGCGGGTGCTGCATGGGAGAGTGAGGGTGTACAACAGTGTCCGATTGCATGGCAAAATTGACGAAGTACGCCAGCACGGCACGGTCGGAGACTGCACCAAGGTAGGTAGTCTGTGTTCTTGTCGCCTCCGGAGCAGTATCAGACTCTGCAGGAGCGGTGGGTGGGGCGGCTTCGACAAGCACTACATGGTACAGAACAAAATGCAACGCGCAGAGATAAGTGTTAGCAAAAGAAACAAATAGGCGGACGGGGACGCTTACCCCTATGCGTCCCCTTCGCAAACACTCCAAGCAGCGAAATAAGGCTGGCATCGTTCGGAAGAGTCTCTAGGTAATTCTTTTCTGAGAGATCTGCGAGTGAAGGTGCATCAACATGAGCGTAGAGGAGGAAGATGCAAGAGATACGAAGTCACAACATCCGTGGCGTAGGATAAGATAAACAAGACATAAAACACGCCATCGACGTGAAGAATAATGTTCAACACATACTGCTAACAAGGTGCACAGGTACACGTCCTTCTCGTGCAGCACTCATAATCTGATCGGCGCGCGAGTTAGCACGAAGCTCTGCGAGTGAGATGGTGTGCCGTGTCGCGGCGAGCGTGAGGAATGCGTTCACATCTGAAAACTACATGCACATCGTCCAAGTTGTGTCATAGCATAGTATGGCGATAATCCGGACAGAATGGAGGGGTATACGAGTCAGGTTGGACGAGCGCGAAATAAAAGAATAACGCACGTCAAAAAGTCCAAGATAAGATGGACCTGTGCGAGTCGAATCCGGAAGTGTGCGGACAGCGAGACACGGGATTTCTTCTTGCAGAAGGAGCTAGAGAAAGAGTCAGCGCTAGTGCACTTACTAAGTCCAACATTGAACTCACATCGCATGCGTCCTCGACGGACATGTCTGCATCTACTTCAACTACGCGCACATCGATCAAATCTGCACGATTGTATGTTAGTATCAAGGTCCGGAATTGAATTCGAAGCAGATATGGAACGAGTTGTTATAGACCTAGACGCACCCTTAGCCAATACATGTGCCCACTGCGAGACCCACTTCTCTACCTCTGCAGTAGGGACATCAGCAATTGTTGGGCTTTGTCCGCGGGTTGGTCTTGGAATAGATGCTCTCCGCTGTGCCATAGTATGTACTACTTATTTCGACTGGTTCCAAGAGAGAACGAGTCTCAAAATACGCGTTGAATGTTTCAGTGACAGTTAGATGGTGTCAAGCGCTAGGTACGATGGAAAGTGATGAGAAGTTGTTTAAGAAACCGGGACGGCTCATGTAGTGCATGATTTGGATGACTGCATGCCGCTCCTCTTATTACGTCGTACTACAGCCGCCCGGCCTTTCCCTTTCCAACACACCAAGCCTAACGCCACACTTAAAACTCCGTCGAGTCTCACACTACTACTCTCCAGGCCAGCTAACTTATCTATACCAATCTCATATCTCTATCAACGAATTCGATAGCGGAAACGTCATTATCAGGATGTTGGAAGGCGATGGGTGGATACGTCACAATTCAATGGGTGGTCTCATGTCGGAACACTCAGGTAGGTTTCAAACACCCCCTTAGAGGCTATGCACTGAACGTTCCATTACAGGTCTAAGGAACGCGAATCAAGTCCTGCTAGGAGTGACGTCAGCGGACTCGTGGACTAATGAGCGATCTAACATGAGACAAGACTCCCTAAGATGGCATGAGCGGGTGAGTTCCCACAGCTTCCCGAATTACGCAATGATATACTGTACTGAATATGATTGCGTCGTGCTCGTTAACAGTAAACCATTCTCTCATATAACGAGTGTGCAAATATAAGTCATATTGCAGAACACTAGACTCTTGGGGAGGGCCCACAGGTTTCCTCGTGGTGGAGGAATCACAACACCCGGACACTCGTATCGATCCAGGGACCAATGCCGGTAAGAATATCTTCATGTTGCAGAGGATAGATCCGAATAACAGTTATCGCCAAGCTCCTTTAGGGTGATCTTTATGTTGGTGGGGATGCTCTTGAGCAGCCCACTGAAAGTCTGTCGCTTTGCTGTTCGAAACAAGGGCAGACTTTATTAGCAAGGTGTCATTTCAACACCTGAAATATTACCCGTATCTCGACGACGGGGCAATCGCACATGGAGACTCCCGGCGGCATTCACGTCACGAGTACGCAGGATTATCAGCCACGTGCATTGTGCTCTTTGGCAGTTCTGACCTTCTTTCCGAAAAAACAATTTTGTCTTATGTAAATTTAACATCGACCTCCAGGATGGGATCGAGGGTTATGGTTTTATTCGGGTTTGGCAAGAACGGCAAGAGCGACGACACTAGGTTTCAGTCAGTTATCGTTATCTTAAGCGATCTGAGGCCAACATCAAGAGCAAGTAAGTATACATTTAGATTTAGCGGTTACAGATGAAGATTAATTCGCAAGACACTATCCCTTCTTTACATGGCTCACAGTTTGGCTCTCGGTAAGGGGATTTCATCCATGATAGCATGCGGAAGCTCGTATTGAATCCAGTGCCCAATTCCTGTAAGAACTTTGGAATTCACGTTCTCCACCTCAAGAGGGACGTAATCCAAAAAAGGGTTAAATTTTGGATCTGATATCAGTACAGTGATCTTAACGTTGGGTGGAATGCTCTTGAGTAACCCAGTGAAAGACCACGGCGTGTTTTGCTGTCCGAGAAAAGGTCAGAAACTATCAGTAATGCCTGCCATTTCAAAAACTAAAATATTACCCGAAGTATCTCGATAGCAGCGCGATCGTACATGGCCATCCCCAGCACTCTTAATATGCAGTCACGTCGTGACCAAGTAGGATTTTCAGCCATATGCTCTTCGGGGGTTCTGATCCTTGACATCTCGTTTAGAACGAATTGCATGTTGATTTTATTTTCTCCTCTGTAACCTCCAGGGCAGGATCAAGGAGTATGACAGTGGTCTCTTGCGTCTTGGGCAAGAATGGCAAGAGCGACAAGGCCACTGGGCCTCCAAGAGAATGACCGATGATTACGTCGTAAGATGTGCCCATGGCGAAATACGATCGGAGGTCCTCTGCAATGTTGGAAATACGATAGTCGGTGCCCTGTCTCCATGCATGCCCGAGGAGATTCGGAGCAACGACGAAAAACCCTGATCAACCTGTTAAAAATGGCTCACTTTATTATATAGGAAACAACTGACCATCTGCTACCAATAGCTGAGCGATGCCCTCCCATGATTGCGAGGACATGGTCATGCCATGAATGAGAAGAGCCCGCCTAGAAGCGGTAGGAGAACCCCACTGAGACGCTGAAATGGTCATGTGCACACTGAGATGACTTGGATGTCTTTAGGACTTGTCAGCAGAGAATATCGAAGAGGATTGGCGGTCGCTCTGCACTTAAAAGCTGACAGAGTCCACGGTAAACAGCAGTGAGAAAAAACCGGCCGAGGTTGACGCGTCTGTCTAAATGCGAGAGTAGTGGATCAGGACATACCATTGAAACGGTGACTTTGCACATATGGCAGGTCCTGCCCATCCGTAAAGTCCTAGTCTATTTAGGGCGGAGAGAACCTAACTTGCGTTTTGAAATCGCTGCGAAACTACATTACACAAGCAACAGAATCTGAAGAAGAATATCAATAGCGACCGTATTAACTGAACGTAGACGAAGACTACACCACAAAAAATATCTTTGCAAGTACTCGGCTCATAGTTTTGCTCTTCGTAGCGGAATTTCACTCATGATGATATTCAAACTCTCGTATTGAATCCAGTGACCAATTCCGATAAGAACTTTGGCGTGCAATCTCGCCACGTCACACGGGACGTGCTCCAAATGACAAATAGCACCGAGCGCCGGATCTGATGCCAGCACAGTGATATTCACTTGGGGTGAAATGTTTTTGAGCAGGCCACTAAAAGACCATGGCCTGTTATGCTGTTCACAGCAGAAGTCAGCAATGTTTCCCATTTCGATGCTAGAACTATTACCTCAAATATCCTCTTGACAACAGTATGATCACACATGGAGATTCCCAGCGCTCTTAATGTGCTGTCACCTCGAGACCAAGCAGGGTTCTCAGCCATGTGGTCGTCAGCGGTTCTGAGATTGGCAATCTCCTTCAGAAACCAGTTTTCATACTTGTCGACGATCTCCTTTGTGAGCTCGAGGGCAGGATCGAGGAGTATAACAGTTGTTTCTTTTGTGTTGGACAGGAATGGCAAGAGCGATAAGGTCACCGCGCCCCCAAGAGAGTGACCTATGATCACATCGTAGGACGTGTCCATGACAAAATACGGTCGGAGGTCCTCAGCAAGGGTGGACACACGATAGTCGGTGCCTCGTCTCCATGCGTGCCCAAGGAGATTCGGCGCGACAACAAAGAACCCTGGCTAGCCGTTAAGACAGAGTATCATCACCTAACATTGCAAGACCTGACCTTCTGTTGCTAATAGCTGAGCAACGCCCTCCCATGATTGTGAGGACATAGTCAACCCATGAATGAGGAGAGCCCGCCTAGAAGCGGTAGGGGAACCCCACTGAGATGCCGAAATGGACGTGGACATATATACTCGGATGACTTGAATGTTTCAGATATCTTTTCGAGCGGTACAGCTGGTGGGACGTGTGCTTGAAGAGGTCGGAACTTAGTTTTCGCTTAAATACTGACGATGTGACTAAAACGAGAGCAGGAAAAGTGTATAAAAAGAGTGATCATCCTGCAGGGGGCCAAGGCATACCCTGAGTCCCTGACAAGTCACGGTCTTGTGACTCTGAGGAACTGAATGGTAATTGATATGCCTACCCTTCTGCGAAGACACCATTACTGGCTGGAAGAGTTGTCCTTTGGAGGTAGTAGCCCTGCCATTTGGACGTGTTCGTCATGCTGCAAAACCATATCGATGTCTTCTCGCTCAACTTATCAATCAAGGCAGATTAACACTTACTCATCGTGCAGGGTACATTGAACCGGGCAATCGTAATATTTGTTAATTGCTTAGACGAGAATTGACTAGGAGATCGGATGGCAGCCTTCAAGCTTCAAGAGCGCCAGTGAACATTGACGTGACGCGTGACCAAATCGGCCACTATTTTCAAATCTCCGTCATAATCTCAATGTCACGAACAACTGTCAACATACGGCCAACACTCAAAGATCAAATCGCCGGTCCCAGGTGTCACTTGTGCACTGTATAGTAAATACTCGGTTTTGTACTGGCGTCTGGATATAATAATTCACTCGCTTCTCTATTGATCATGGTGATGAGGTACTAGACCTCGAAACCTCCTACTCCCGAGCTAGTGGCAGTCTCCATTCCTCCTCAAAGACAGGAAATTGGATGCAGTTACGCACAAGCTCTCAGACCTTGAAACAGTCACGGACCGTATCAGCAATCTTCACCAACAACTCGTCGAACAAAAGACTGGGATCATCTAGTCCAGAATTTCGCACAGCACTCCTGACATTGGCAACTCGGGCTTACATAGTGCTCATGGTTTTTGAGAGTAACATTTAATGTGGTCATGCCCAAGCCGCCGAAAGAAGTCCGGCGGCAGGTTATCGTCACTGTGGCCAGGTGTGTGCCACCAGAGTACACAGGAATACACTGCCAGAGAATGGTTGATCGAAATGTATGTAGCTTGTATGTTTCGTTGTCGACATCCGAGTCCATTTCTTCGGGGTTGTACACACCATACGAACCTGACTAACTATGTGGGTCGAGCAGGGAGTGCCGCGTCTTGAACATTGAAACGTTGACACAACGTGGCCCGAACTTCCGATTTCGGTGGCAGGTTCAATTCGTACAGTAAGTACTGCCATAAGGCTAGTGCGACTGACTATGTATAGAGACCGCCACCAATAAAATGACAGGGTTCCTGCATCCAGCTTGAGATAAACGTGATATGGAACTCGATCGAAGCTTGAATTATACAGCATGGAGGCTCCCGAACCGATGCTGAGTTTTATAGATATATACCCCAAACCTGCTGCCTCCCTTGGACAGAACGAATTCCCGAGATCCTCTTACAAACTGCAATGCAAATAGTATCCCTCCATCTTCCAACAGTCCACCAACCAAGTCGACCTATCCCGATCCATGGATCTGATGTTCAGAAAGTCATATGGTCTTCCGATGGACGTCTGAAGCTCAGGCCCATGCCTGCCGAAAGAGTACAAGCACAGAGATATAAACCAGGCAACATCATGTAGGTCGGCGCTGGAGATCATCGACCATGTCCGACTGACCACTGACACACAGTCAGAGAGACATTGGGAACTTCAACATCCCACACATGATGATAGATCCTATCGAGTAACACATTTTCACTTTGCCACTTTCGTATCTCATGCATACATTCTAGGATATCAGCTCCTCCTGGATGGCAAGCCTACATTCATCCTGAAGGCCGTCTCTATTACTGTTATGAGAACGTGGTGACTTTTGACGGATGTTCAAGAAAAATTCACGTTATAACGCAGGCGGATCTCGTTCGCGACGGAGTTGCTGAGACAATCGAGGACCTTGCAAAACTCGCTTATAGTCATGCTTGTCACTATTCTTCTTTCCCGGCGAATGTAGACCTCGTATTGGAACCTAAGGATGTCGGAGAAACCATTATAGGAGAATATTATTTCGTGCATCATAAGAACAGGTGCCTGTTCTGGTTGCTGGACTTCGATGCCGTCGACATCCTGCGAGAATGCAGTGGAGTCACTGAACTTGCTCATAAGAGTCAGTTTTGTGGACCCGCGCTTGACTGTGTCTGATGAACACTTGCAGAGATTGAGTTGGAGGCTCAGTACTGGTACGCTCTACAGCAGTTTGTGAGTACATTCAATGTATGCTTCATTGCCAGAATGCATTATACTGACTGCATCAGTTGAGGCATGGTGGCTGCTCACGCAAGTAGGAAACATATCGACCTGTTTCCGCACGCAAGTGCTCTCCACTCCGAGGTCCTTCGACAATTGCAGCAGATCATTCGTTTTGCGATAAGCGGTGAGCTCTTTACCATCGGGACATCATAAGAGAACTCAATTTGTTCCAGATTGCATGACTTCGGAAGTATCGGCAGTCTGTGCTTTCAGCATGGATGTCCTCAGGAACACTCTGGACCTCATCAAAGATGTAGATGGTAAGTCACGCCAACTCCCGAAATCGTAAAGCTCATCGCATGTCAAGTGGAGGACGATTGGATTCAGTCGGCACATGACAAATGTCTCGTCGGTAAGCAGTCGTGTTTCGCGCGCAGTAAATCGACATTCATGACATCGTAACTATTAGCAAGGACAATGAACCATTTTAGTACGTGACCTAATTCTGGTTCAAGATATTCTCCAATTCCCTGCACCAGGACATTGTCAATACCTCAACTACTATGGGCAGCGAGGCGCACGGCTCTCTCGAGACCAGACTGTACATGGCAACTCCTACGAAAAGCGGTCCGTTATGATGAAATGTCTTGCACCCTTGCTCTTCAATGCTCCTTATGAGCACGTCCACTCTCTTCACAAACTCTACGTCGACTCCATAGTTCATCAGCTCGACTGGCGCACCTTCGTTCAAAAGCTGAACGCCGAGATGCAGGACTTCAATCTGCTCGTAACTCATTCCCGTTAAGTTTGTGATATGCGGATCATGCTGACACATTGATGGTCAGGCGACCGTGCTCTTGAGTGTCAATGTTGGCTTTTTGGCGATTCAGAGCGTAGATAATGGTGGAGGATATTCTTTATCGCAGATCACGAGCTACGTTTCTGTGATCTCAAGTTTTGGGTGCATGCTGCTTGGTGTGAATATCGCGAGACAAAGCTACACTCAAGGTCCAGACATGGTCGATAATGTGGTACGTCTTGTTACAACTCGCGTAGTGGCAATCTCCAATGAATGTATTTGCTTAGCAAGCACACCTGCAGAGCATGGTGCACCCCAAGCACGGCCTCGAGACGCTTGCAATCATATACAGCCTACCGTATGCTTTACTCATGTGGGGGTGCGTTTGACTCTCCCCTATCAGTTTCAAGTTATTCACTACAGCTGATAGGATGATATTTTTCGTGATTGCATTTTTAGCTGAATGTTTTCGTAACTCGACTGTGGTACCCTCGGTCCCTGTAGGTGTGACGGCGCTCATTGTGCTGGTGCTTGTCGGGTGGTCTTCAAGTTGTCACAAGTTGGGAGACCCAAATCTCAGGGCGGGCTGTGGGTACTTGTCTGAAAGTGTGCTCGCGGCAGGAAAGTGGGCCAAGGATCTACCCAGGCGGATTCCGGCAGTGTTGCGCTCATGCGCCTCGGTAAGCGAAAAGAATCAATTGGGTCCGGAGTTGGGTCTTTGAAGGTGGGAAATTATAAAAACCCCGCTGTCGGGCATCAATGTTACTGTACTCGACGAACTTGTATATTCTGAATGCAATGATATCTCGGGAATTTAGAATCTTGTTTTGGGTACTATGTGTTCACCTAGCTGGGATTTATCTATTCACAAAGGGATTCCTCCTCAATCGACTCGCACTCCCCGACAGAAGTGTAGACGCCTGCACTTCACTCGCTACCCACAAAAGAGCTGTCCTGCTCGTTATAGACGCCCTACGCTTTGATTTCATCGCGGAACACCCGCCAGAGCCTGTTTCACCTTTCCATCACAACATTCTAACTCTACCACGCGAATTGACCGCCGCTCATCCCGACAGATCATTCATATTTAACGCGCACTCTGACCCGCCGACCACGACTCTTCAGCGACTCAAAGGCATCACCACAGGGTCCCTACCCACCTTTGTAGACGCAGGAGAAAATTTTGAAGGCTCTTCCATCCATGAGGATTCTATCATCCATCAGCTAAATGCTGCGGGCAGAAAGGTATGTGCTCACTTCTTTTTTTCCCTCCGTTTCCCTGATACAATCCAAAGGAAAGATCGCTTTTGCCGGCGATGACACTTGGCTCGCCCTTTTCCCAGATGCTTTTCAGCCAAACATGACCTTTGCCTTTGACTCCTTCAACGTCGAAGATCTTCACACCGTAGACCAGGGCGTCATCGACAATCTTTTACCCTTGATGCGGCATCATAAAAACTCATGGCATTTTGCCATTGGTCACGGTTTAGGGGTCGACCATGCAGGTCACAGAGTCGGTCCAGATCATCCCGTGCTCAGAGAAAAACTTGAGCAGATGAACACTCTTTTACGCGATGTCGTTGCAGCCATGGACGACGACACCCTCCTCATAATGCTTGGGGATCATGGAATGGACAAGATGGGTAATCACGGCGGTGACAACATCCTAGAGACAATGTCAGCTCTCTGGATCTATAGCAAGGTCCCTCTTTCCCTCCCCGAACACACAATTCCAGAGGCCATTCTACCGGTGATCACATTCCCAGACACTCCGGTCCCCCATCGCCATGTCCAGCAGATAGATTTGGTGCCAACTATCTCCTTACTCCTCGGTCTTCCCATCCCATTCAATAACCTCGGAACCGTCATCCCAGAACTTTTTAATCGTGATTCCGATGGTTCATCTTTGCAGAAAGCCATGGAACTCAACGCAGCTCAGATCAGGCGCTATCTTGATGCTTATCGATCTAGTTCATTTGGTAAGGAGCTTGATGCTGCCTGGTATGATTTTTCCCTCACCTGGGATGGCGTACATGCGATGGACGGGAATGACCGTCTCATTGCGCTTGATAACTTTACTCGTTTGGCGTTATCCGCGTGTCGTGTCCTCTGGGCTCAGTTCAACGTTTTCCTCATGGGCGCTGGATTGGCCGTCATTGGTTTGAGCATCGTCGCCGGCTGGGCGTTGTACTCCAAACTCCGAGATGTTGCGGACGTCGAGTGGGAAAAGTGGGTGGACGACAAAGTCTGGTGGTCGTTCAGCGCCTCTGCTATAGGATCTGCCCTAGGATACCTGGCACACATTGTCTTGCACGAGTATTTGGACGGTGTTGCCATGCACCAGACCGTCCTCTTCGCTGCCGCCATCGCATCATCATTCGTCATGATAGCTTCCACCCGCCCCGTGATCACCTTGAAAGCCATCAAATCACTCCCTATCTTCCTCATTCTGCACACCTTATGTTTCGCATCAAACTCGTTTACAGTATGGGAAGACCACATCGTACTCTTCTTCCTTATCTCGTCCATCGTGCCTTCTGTCATCACAGGCTTCACAGCTCCCACTTCCCGACTTCGCTCCCGCATACTAGGCTTTTCCGCTCTTTTCGCTATATGTGTGCGCCTCATGGCTATGAGCACCGTCTGCAGGGAGGAACAACACCCATACTGTACCGTTACCTTTTACGCCTCCGAGTCATCATCAGCCCCACCACTCACAGCACTCCTCCTCGCCTTCCCTGTTGCTATCGCGGTTCCCCTCGTCGTCCGGCGCATACTCAAAATCTCGAAATCAGACTCTGGTCTCGCTGCAACGTTCATCCCGCTGTTGTTCGCACCGTCTTTGATTGCTGGCACGGTGTTCTGGATGCTCGAATGGGTAGACTCTGCACAGGCCCTGGGTGATATGGGTGATACTCTGAGGGTGACGAGGACCGTGGTGGCGAGGACTACTGCTGCTACTGTGTTGATTGGGGGTTTGTCAGTGTGGTGGACGTCGCCCGCTTGCCTTACGATCTCAAAAAGCCAAACGAGTGAGGCATCTACACAGGAAAAGACCGAAGTTACTGTCTTAGGCTTTGCCAACGCATTCGGCTCCCCTTATCTCATGTTCTGGCTCATCTTCTTTAGTGTCGTGTGGTTGATGACTCAACTTTCCGGACAGATCGCCCTTGGACTCTCATCCATCGCTCTTCTCTCGTATCTAGAGATCATCGACAGCGTCCGGGACGTCCACAGCCTAAATAACGCGTTCACATCCCCCAATGCGTCTCTCCAACTCGCCGATACTAATCCGAACCACGACCTCTTATTCTCAGAAATCGTACCCCTAGCGCTCCTAGCGACGCACATGTATCACAGTACAGGCCACCAATCGACGTTTTCATCTATCCAGTGGAAAAGCGCATTTATCCTCGGAAAGACGCTTTCCTTCCCCTTTTCACACGTTTCCATTGCTATCAATACTTTTGGATCCCTTTTCCTCGGAGCGCTGGCGGTGCCGCTGATCGTACTGTGGAACCTTCCTCCCCTACCCCTCTCACCGTCTCGCCCCCGCCCAAACGCACTAAGAGCTGCACTGGCGATATCGTTGTATTTCTCGGTGCTGGCGTTTGGGGCAGCTGCGTGCGCAGCGGTATTGAGGAGGCATTTGATGGTGTGGAAGATATTTGCGCCTAGGTATTTGGGTGCTGGTTTTGGGCTTTGGGTTGTTGATGTGGGTGTTTTGGTTGGTGTTGGTGTTGGCGTTGGGAGGGTTGGGGAGGAGATTGGGAGGGTTTTCGGCAGGGTGAGGAGTTAAGGTCGATGTATTGTATCGAATTGAGTTCCTTGGATCAATCACTCTGATTGATGTGATTAAAGTGTACGGCTTTTTACTGCCATGAGAACTCGATGCTTGGGGGAGATCAGAACGTACCGGTTGCAAAGGTGGCAAGGATTCGGTGCTCAGGGGAGATCCGCACGCATCTGTTGAACGGGTTGCAACAAACGTTGGCTGCTAAGAGTACTGCCCTGGATACATGTGCTGTCACTGCGTTGATCACGATGGCTTTGTTTGTTGTTTACACTAGTCTGAAGCACGGCCGGTATCACCTTTGAGCGTCCGCCTAGCAGGGCAGAACAGTATTGATGGTTTTCTCATACGTTCCATGGCTAGCCATCTGTGATGTCTAGAAAGACGTTCACACGAGAAGTTGACTTATAAAGCAACTTAGAGTCCAGCAGAGAGAACTGTTAGAACTAAGCTTGTTGCTTCGGGGAAAGGATCAACTACCCTAACAGTAGTTCTACGCGAGTTTAAGTACTGTAGGGTATAGAAAACTATGGAACTGGATAGAAGGAAAATAAAGATGAGTAAGGAGAAAATGTGACGACGAGAATATTAGAGGTAGCAACCAATATTCGATGTCGACTTGTTTACGAGTGTAACATACGCCCTCCAGGTCAACTCGGCGAGGGGACCTTTACTTTTGGAGTCGCCAATCTACGCGGGGCTAGCACCTTCGGAGATGGACGCGAAGGCCGCTAATAGGACGAGGAGGATCAGCGTGTTGACGACCAGCAGGCTAAGGGAGATGTATCTACCAAAGACGTCATCAGGCGTGATATCCTGGAGATTACTAGATTGCTCTAGGTCGAGTTGCTCGGCAGCGGCAATAATCTCTTCGACGTCCGGACCTGGGTCTGGGGTGGTGACGATGGTGGCGGGAGGAGGCGCCAGGATTGCAGCAGCGTTGGTCTTGACTTCTGCAATGACCTGGGCAGCTGTGGTGGGACCTCTGCGAGGTGAGTGCCTGGGTGCATGACGTGGAGCACGTCGTGACTGTCCGTTCTCGGATGGGAGATCACGGAGCGGGGGACGATTGTCCAGCTTGATGTTGCGCCCTCCAGGACGGTAGGGAGAGTACTCACGGGGCCGAGCAGATCGCTCGGCCCTAAGCAACTGATCAAAGGCATGAGCCTCCTTCCTGATCGCTAACACCACTGAAAACCTCATATCGTGATATGGCCTTACTTAAGCTACAAAGCTGAATCATCATGCCTGCTGTTGAGATTTTATTGGATAGTCTGACAAGGGTGGATCATTAATTACACTAACGAGAAAATCTCTCCTTCTCGGTGAAGTATTATACTCTCAGAAATACCCTTGTAACACAGGCTCCAAATTTTGTTATTATTATCAAGCGCTACAAAGTCTATCTGCAAGTAAACTCAAACTACAAACGTGAATCATTGTTCTTGCTGTTGAGATAGTATTGGATAGTCTGACAAGGGTGGATCGCTAATTCCACCAATGAGAAAAGCTACCCTTCTCGTCGAAGTATTATATTCTAAGAAATACCATTGTAAGTTGTAACACAAAGTCCAAATTAAGTATGTTCATTCCCGGTGCCCGCTAGTACCTTCAACTTACAGCTATTTGCAAATGGCCTGTGTGATGTAACGTTCCCCATGCATTAAAATCTATAGTATAGGTTGTCGTCGTCATCGCTGTCATCCTCCCCGTCCGAGTCTGACTCTTCAGGCTCATCAACATCCTCGGTACTACTGTTACTATCCTCGCTGACATCACTTTCGTCGTCATCTTCTTCAACATCATCTTCCTCAACATTGCCTTCCTCAACATTGCCTTCCTCCATGTTATTTTCCTCAATGACATCTCCCTCGGCATCTCCATCCTCGATGGTGTCTTCCTCGTCGGATGATTCGTCTCCGCAACTGAAAGCGTCATCCCAATATTTCTTGGAATGTTGCTTGATTGCTGAGGAGG